ACTTACAATCCCAGCCCTGCGGCGCAGTACGAAAAGGGGCGGGGCTCCAACTGCAGGATTGTGGCAGCCATTTTGACTCTTTTGACCCAAATGGCAGACGTCCCTGAATTCAACAACAGGCCTCTCCGTCCTCTGATGGTTCACCAGCTCTATCCCTTGTCTGTACGGTTCTCATCAGGAGCTGGCAGGGTGTGGTCAAAATGTCAAGATGGCGGCTGCCACGGCAGGATCGAACCACTGCCCGTTTTTTTAATCACTAGTGATCGACCGTTGTGGCCACCACCATCATTATTTTGATTCTACCCTTGCAGATTCCACTGCTTCCTGCAGATTTCCCCAATAAAATGCGTTCAGCAGCACGCTAGTCCTCCGCAAGGCACTCCCAAACCGGTCCTGAGGCCTGAAATGCTGGTATCCCAGGCACAAATACAATGTTTCTCAACCTTGGTGACTTTAAGATGTGTGGACTTCAACTCCCAGAATTCCCCAGTCAGCATGGTCCACCCCTCTTAAAGCAGGCTGGCTGGGGGATTCTGGGAGTGGAGGCCCATCCCTCTTAAAGCATGGCTGGCTGGGGGATTCTGGGAGTGGAGGCCCACCCCTGTTAAAGCAGGCTGGCTGGGGGATTCTGGGAGTGGAAGCCCACCCCTCTTAAAGCATGGCTGGCTGGGGAATCTGGGAGTGGAAGCCCACCCCTCTTAAAGCAGGCTGGCTGGGGGATTCTGGGAGTGCAGGTCCACCCCTCTTAAAGTCACACTTAGGTTGAGAAACACTGTATTAATGGCTTTTCAGCAGGGTGTACTGTACGTACTACCAATTTCTACGAGGCACAGTTTATTTTTACTGTATTTTTCAGTCCTTCGTGGTTTTTGAGTTTTCCTCCTTCTGCCCTCCTTTAAAAAAAAAAAAAAGAACTTTGCATATGTGCCAAATTTTGCCAAATGTGGATTTCTCCCTCTCTTCTTTCTCCTCTCCCCCCCCCCTTTTCCTCAACCCGGCTTTTCTTGACACGGGCTTTGATGTGTAATGTCCCAATTACAAACACACCAAGATTTTGCATTCCATCCAGCGAAGGATGGGAACCTGCAAGTTTTGGAATGCAAGCACGTCTGAATGTACGGACACTGGGGCAAATTTGGTCAAGCCTGAGGCTGTGCTTGCCACTAAGTTTTTATTTAAAAAAACAAAACAAAACACAAGAGATTAATGTTATTGAAGCTGTTAGGGCAGGGACTGCCTAATCTTTCTAATAAAAACATTTTCTTTCCATTACTCGCTGGACAACGTGTGATTG